CGACACACCCGCACGCAGGTCCCGCGCACCCGTCGGATACCGGGGAAATTCGGGACGAGGTTGGAGGGGACACGCGTCTCCTAGTAAACCACATTGGCGGGGCACCACGGCGTGTCAGGGTACAGCAGGCAGTGCACAGAGCGAAACCTGCGGAGGAGAGGAGAGATGCTGAGCACGGGGTGGTGGCGGCCCTGCGGCACCCCGGCTCAGAGGGGACAGGGTCCCCCCATCTCACCTGGATGGGTCCTCCTCGACAGAGAAGGCTCCTTTCATGTGGATGGAGTTGCGCTTGTTTTCAAACATGCCGTAGCTTAGTGTCACCTGGGGAGAGGAAACACAGGGGGGTCAAGCAGACGACATGGCCACGAGGATCAAGCAGGGGCATGGGGGGGACTGCAAAATTCACCCCCTTTCCCACAGCCTCTGGTCACGCCCTGCATCACCCCAACGCTGATGGGGCGTTCCCCCTCCGCTCATGTTTTGGAAGCACATCAATCAATATCTTAGCTGTGATGCCCAGTTTTTAGGTGACAACATGAAACCAAATGACGGTACCATCCATCCCAACCCCTCCATCCACCCCAGGCCACCAGGACAGGGATACCTGTTTGTGGATCTCCGTCTTGGGCACCTGGTGGAGGTTCTCCAGGTGCGAGTGGAAGAGGTTGCTCCGGATGAGCTTCACCCCCAGCACAGACTCGATGATGTAGCCGATGGTGCAGTCGTCGGGCAGGCGGATCTTCTCCGCTGTGCTCATGAAGTGGCCCCCGCTGCGGGGAGACAGAGAGGAGCTGCAGAGGAGCAAAGCCTGGGGGGATGCAGGCACCCCATGGGGTCTGGGCTTGGCCAGTGGGTGCCCACCTCTAGCTCTAATTAAAAGTCAGTTACACTTGGGGGAACTGAGATCCTTCCCGGCTTGTTTTCAAGCCCCCTGCAGAAACCCCCAGCAAGGCAAAGAGAGCAAGGTGGTAGGACACGGTCCAGCGCCCATCCCCAAAGATCTTGTTGCCACTCTGTGCCCCACTGGGACCATGACGAGTCCGCATGGGAGAGCAACGCCAACGCTCTTACCTGGCCCACGGGCTCATCTTCAGTGCCAGCCCCCGGCTGATACAAAACCCCGCTCCGCCCGTGGCAAACCAGAAATGCACAGGGTGCTGCGAGAGAGGGGAAGCAATGGCAGTGAGGCCTCCTCCCGCCGACCGGGGAACAAACCCCAGCCCAAATTAAGCCAGCCCCAACCTCTCACCCAACCCCCTCACCATCTTGTTCTCGCTGATCCTCTCCGTAGCCTGGATGGGCCGGTCCAGGCTGGGCTTCCCGATGTAGATGTCCTGCGTGTGAGGGTAGCTGGAGAGCAGCTTCACCAGCGTCCGCACGTTCACGTAGTTGTCATCGTCCACATGGCAGAACCACCTGCGGCAGCAGCCCTGTCACACTTGGCCAGGGCAGCTCCCCAGACCCCATGCTGAGATATGGCCCCAAAAATGTGAATGGCCTCTGCCTACGCTGTCGTGTCCGTCCCCCCCCTCGCAGCCCCACCGTCCCCCACAGTAGCCCCAGGCGCTGCTTACTTTCTGCCGGACTCAATGAACTTGTCGTACTCCACGGCCATCTTGCAGGACAGGGCCTGGCGGCTGTGGGCGGCTGAGCAGTTGGTGTTGATGACGTTTCCTGCGGGAAGAGACGGGGGTCAAAGCCCGGTGCCGGGGTATCCCATACTTCCCTGCTTGCTCAAACAGCGATGCTTCACCACGCACATTCCAGGGACACCAGGGGATGGAAACCCCATGGATGTCCCTGATGCTCGGTGGCCTCCATGCCACATTATTTTGGGCAACGAATGAATTTTTTGGGGAATGGCTTTTGGATCCACATGAGACAAGGGAAGGGAGCAAGGGGTGCGGATGCAGCAGATGCACCAGGGTTGAGCTGTATCCCGCGTGCTATGCGTGATGCCGCCCTACATCACCTTGCCCATCCTGGGGCCATGTACCAGCCACCCCAGGAGCAAGAGGGTGTCCATGAGCCAGCTTCTCCACCCAGCCAAAATCCTGGCCTATTCCCGCTGCCTTTTCCCGCAGCAGCCACCTGTTATTTGCTTGCCCAGCTCAAAGGCAATCGCTTCCCGGCCTGAAAAGGAGTCATTTGCATGGGGAGAATAGACCGAGCTGATCCTGGCCCCAGGGACCGGCTGCCAGGGAAATGCTCCCAGGAAACCCTGGCCGTGTTGCCCATCAATCCCAGTGAGCCCCAGGGACAAACTGGTGCAAAGGCACCCCACCCCGTTAGCGTGCTCCCCAGCAGCATCATACAGGAGGTGGGCTGGGCTGACTGGGAAGGAAACCCGTCCCCAGGTGGGGCCCCCGGGCAGAGGGTGCTTTAGGCACCATCAGTGAAACAAATTGCCTCGTTCTCAGCCGAGGTCCCTATGGCGAGGGCTCCTGAGGTTAGTGTCTGACCGGTGGCATTTTGACCATTTTTTCGGAATTCCTGGGGCAGGCTCCACGCCAGCCGTGCTCCCCAGGTGGGGGGTCCTCAGGGAACCTGGCCAGGTCTCGCATGCAAAGGGACAAGGGCCACAGACTCACGTGCTTGCTTCTTCAGCTCCTCATCCTCCCCGTCCGTGAAGATGAAGGTCTGAAAGAAAAGACGAGGCACCTTTGAGGACTGAGGAGTCGAGGCCACGCAGCTCTGGACACCACCCGGCACAGCTGGGCAGCACTGGGGATTGGTCCCGCTGGGGCGCTGGTGGTGACTTCTTCCTCCTCACTAAAACCCAGAGCAGCACCAGAGAGCCAGGCAAGCCCATGACATGCTCAGTGTCAGACCAAGAAGGGTGCCAAGCCATTCTGGCAGGACACGGCACACAATGCTGTGCCTCACCGGGGTGCAAACCCCAGCCCCCTCCAGCACCCATGCTGAGCATCCCCATCCTCTCGCCTTTTCCATGGGGCAGCAGCAGGCAGGAGGATTTTGCGTGACGCAAGGGCCGCCCCGAGCACGAGGTGGGTGCACAGAGAGGAGCCGGTGACGAGGAGCGGGTGTGCAGCACGGCTCAATCTGAGCAGAGACTTCAGACTTTAGTCGGCGTGGCCAGCACGTGCAGCCAGGGATGCCAAAGCCGCCGCCCGGCGGCTCTCCCTGCCCAGGCAGGTGTGTTTGCCCATGGCACTGGCTGCCACTTGCCACTGGCGGCCAGCTGCGTCCCCACCTGTGTCAACAGCACGTGGCCGTCCCCGGCCACTTGCACAACACCCCCACGGCTTCTCTCCGCTCCCCGTCCCTGCCCAGGGTGACTGAGCCGGTGCCAGTGGGTGCCTCTCGCCAGCCCTGAGGAGGGGACGGTCCCTCGCTGCCCACCCCAGCATGGTCCCCATGGTGCCAGGCAGAACCCTACCTCCTCCCCGGGCACCCAAGCTGCCCGCCCGGCTGCACTCCTCTATTTACACAGCTAATTCCTGGCATATGCCGCCCGGGAAGGAGGATTGGTGGGGGCTGCTGTTGGCCTGGGATTTGGGGAAGGGCGAGAAGCAGGAGGAGAGAGCAGGGGGTGGGAAAGGCATCGCAATCAATCAGCGGGCAGCAAACAAAGCTGGAGGAGAGAAACCACAACCAGCTGCCAAGCGCTATTAAAAACCAGACGTGCACAAAAGGGCAAAGAAAGAAAGACAAAAGGGCTGAGGCTGGGGGGGGATGGAGGTGGTGGAGGGGGGACGATGGAGCCGGAGTGCTGGGGATGATGAATTACAAGTCAGCTGGAAATTGGGTGCCACCCCGCAGCCGGCCGGCCCCGGGAACGCGCTGGGTTTTTGTGGTTTGTTTGAGGAGGTGGGTACAATAGCTGGGTTGACTTTACTCAGCAGAGGAGAGTTAAGCGGGCAGCGGCGGTCATTAGCATACAGCTGCACTGGTTAACCCGGCCGGCCGGTGTTTGCTCAGGTCCCGAGCAGGGAGGCCGGTGGGGAGAGCCCAGATCTGCAGGAAGGCTGAATGGGAGGGGAGGATGGCGCGCTCCTGGGGACGGGGCTACAAATGACCTTTTAGGCTTGAAAAGGAGAAAAGAAAAAGAAAAATAAAAGGATGGAGGAGGTGGGAATGCAAGTTCTCACAAATGCACAGCCCGCCACACAGCCCTGGTTTTGGGGAGGGACAGAGGGCAGCCCCCCATGGGTCAGGAAGGCTGTGAGCAAAGGGTTAGGGGATGGGGGACCCTCTGGTGAGGAGGGGACAGCTGGGGGACAGGGACCTTAGCCCATCGGCTGCAGGGCCAAGGATGCCCATGGTCATTGTGGCCCTGGAACACGTGTCACTGCTGGGGTGGGACAGGGTCAGTGCTGTGCACAGAGGAGGAGGACATCACCCCCAACCAATGTGGGGTCCAGCCAGCACCTCGCTGCTGGTCCCCATTTCCCCCACGTGCTCAGGGAGGGGTCAGGCAGCTGCTGGGGGTACGAGCTGACCCAGAGCAGGGGGAGACCATCCAAGGATGCTCAAGATGACCCCATCACAAGCCCTTTCTCATCCACCCCGAAACACGTGGTGCCCCGGTACCTCCCGCCCAAGGCTCCAGCCCTGCCTGGAGGGGGACGGGGGAGGCAGGGGGGACACAGCCTCCGCGCAGGCGAGACAGAAAACGTTTGCTTGATTAGCTCAGAAACGCCGTCCAGCAACTGTGCCTTCAGCCACTCCAAAAATAACCCTGCAACTAATCCCCCGGCTCAGCTGCTATAAATAGACCACAGGGACAATTGTTTATTACTCGCCCGCACCGAAAGGCTTCATTCTAACGAGGCATCTTCCCTCTGGCCTCTCCCCATGTACATCCCCCTAATTTTCCTGGTGCGGGTGGACCAGGCGGCACCCTGGGGACCAGGACAGGGGCACACAGCCCTGCAAGTGACCTCGCAGGGGCTACTGGGACCTCGCAGGTTCCCCACCTCCCTCCCAGCCCCACCACAAAATACAATTAAAACAAAAAAAAAAATTAAAGCCTCTATTTTTTAATTAATTTGTCCGCATTTCTTAGGTGAGGGGTCTGTGCCCTTCCTGCTCAGCCCCCTCACCCTGGGGCTGCAGGGGAGAGGAGCAGAGGTGCCAGCCGAGCCTGAGAGGGAACAGGCCAGGAAAGGATGGGGACAAGAAAACCCCATGTTGGCGTGACAAGAAAAAAAACACAGATCAGCCTTCGGCATCCCCGATGCAGGGCATCGGGCATCAGGGCAGCGCCCGGATTTGCAGTGTGGTAAAGTGGGATGGGACATGGTAACTGAGCTGTCACCTACCAAGCCACCACCTCCAGACCCAAAAGCAGCAGGGCCAGGCCCCCATCCCTCTCCCAGGCAGAAAGCACCCGAAGCCCTTACACCCACTCCCCTCCACCTCTCCCCGACTTAGCCCCCATGCCAGCCGTGGCACCGAGGGGTGCCAGGACCTCTTGGGCCCCCCCGCAGTAACTTTTCCTGCGGGGTGCAGGAGAGGAAGGGCCCGCTGCCCCCCCCAGCCCCTGCAGGAAACCTCATTGTTCTCAAAACTGCAGCTTCAAGAAACACAGGATGCCAAATCCCTCCCGAACAATAGCTGCCACCGCTCCATACAGCCCGGCACAATGCGTGGCCCCCGTGTACAGGGACCGAGAGGCACCCGGGGTCCCTACGGCTGGGATGGAGTCAGTCCCCCAGCTGCCTGCAAGGAGCCAGGCAGCCGCCGGCAGGACCCCACC